TCTTCTACCCTAAAAACTCAACATCTATTTCAAAATTGAGAATATATGAGCAGTTGAACCGTTATGGGAAGTTACAGAGCTACGTTTTCCTATGATTTTTCTCTGTGTAATAAGTTGTGGCAGCTTGTTTTGCCGTCCTCAGTTCATCAGCTACGTTATGTTCTTTTTGATAGCATTCGCAATCTTAATTAATAACTACAAGAACGATATTTTCGGGGTGTTCTTTACAGCCACATTTCTAAGGCTCCTTCCCATTTTTTTTTAAGTGGATTTAGTAAGGATAGTTGTTTACATAACATACGAGGTGTAACAATTAAGTTCTGAAACAGATTTTTTTTTAACGAACATCTGTGTATGACGAAGAATGAAAGGGATATGGTTTAAATCTACATATTATCACTTGACCTTGGGTAAAAATTTCAAGCAACTGCAATGAACAGTCTCGTTGTCATAGTCAAATAGTAAAGGTGAAATATTGCTCTTTTCGAAAAAATGTTGGATAAACAAAACTCAGAAGTCCGCTTATCCAGCTATTACAGTTTATGATTGGTACAAATCTTTTTTAAGGAGGAGGGGGACTTCAAAAAGTGACCTGAACGTTTAAACAGTGATATGCGTATATTAAGCTATGGTAAAGACATTTGTTCTGACACGTGTACAAACTTCTAATGGCAAAATAGAACATGCATGGTAAAGATATTTGTCCTGGAATGCATTGAAAATGACTAAGATTTCTTGCCAAGGGTCGAAACTTGTGACAAAGCATGGATTTTTTAATATGACCCTGAAATTAAGTCACAATCAATGCAGTGAAGAAAGTAAAAAGAGCGAGGTTGAGCAAGTCAAAATTCAAAGTGATGATTGTTTTCTTCGATATACGAGATGTAGTGCACACGGAATGGGTACCACAAGACCAAACAGTTTTTTAGAAGTTTTACGAGGACACAAAGATAAAATTTGCCAAAAGAGCCCCGAAATGTGGAGAGAGAACTCCCCGGATTCTTGACCAAGACTGCCGAATGACATATTTCTGCACCTTGACATATTTCATTCTAATAAATGCTCAATTATTTTATTATCGATAATTTACTTGATTGGTTTTTTCGTGAATATAAGAAATTTCACAATGCCGTATTGAGAGTAAGAGGTATACACCTGTTGTATAATTATTAATAACTCGTTACTGGTTCCTGCTATTAATACTGTATCTTCCGCATATCATATAATTATTAATCGGGATTCCATTTAAGAGGATACCAGAGATGTTTGGTTGTGTGGCCTTTTGAATAGTTTTCGAATACAAATTAAAAATGGATATCTCCGGTTTTGATGTTTTCCGAGGTTATGTTGTCTATTTTTAGTTGGTTATAGTATATATTTTCTATATTTTCAAGAACTCCTGTTTCTATTATTTCTGTTTTTAAAATTATAATAAGCTGGTCATGTTCTAAACGAGTGATGGCGAACCTATGACACATGAAACGCCTGTCAGTGTTGGCACGCGAGTTCATTTTTGGTGACAAGCATCTGACAAGATAAAAAAAACTCATAATTCAAATATTTAGCGTAGAAATAAAAGATTTGGAAGACAAACTTCAGCACCAAAAAAGGTTTTTGGTTTTTACAAAAACCATTGTTTTGATGACGCTTCGGTAGAGTCAGATTAGTTCTGCTTCTTCCTGATGTTTGAGGAGAGCCTTGTCGAAACGTCGTCAAAACAATGGTTTTTCTAAAAACCAAAACTATTTAATGCGGAATCAAACCCGGAAAACTACATAAATCACAAATAGATCCCACATAAACCCTTTCTCATAATCCACAATTCAACCGTGCACATCTTTTTTTTTAAATCTAACAAGCGTTGTGTCAGTATATTTTTGAACTAAATCTCTACGATTACGGATGTTGTAGATAATTTTTAAAAACAATTTTAATTAGTAGCTCATTTTTATGATTATAAATTTTTCGCTATATTAGGTAACCTTCGGATTCTCCGAAGGAAGCAAAAACTATTCAGTCTTCGGTTATATTACGTTAAATAATGTGGTATTATTATTCAGTAATTCCACCTTTCAAATCTTTCCATTTTTCATATTTTTAGGTTACAGATCACTCCATTTAATGTTTAATGTAATGAGACATCCAGAGACTTGTAACCTTCTACAGCTTATAATACAGGACAAGATCATCGGAAGAGAGTCAGGCCGAAGAACAATGTGACTCGAAATCTCTGAGAGTGGTATCAAGAGACATCTGTATATATCTGTTTCAAGCTGCCGTAAACAAAGTTATTATTATCAATATGATTGCCAACGTTCGATAACCGGACTACTGAATGAATATTCACTTCATTTTTATTTTCCACTTTGTTATTTTCACTTTCTTCTGTGATTATTGATCCCCGCCTTTCACCTGGAAAGATGAACTCTATATATTTGTTCCATTGTTTAGGTTTTTGCACTTTTCTAACAATTGATCTCTTAGGTCGAGTGGAAGGGTGGTGCTCACTCATATTAACTAATCTAATCACTCATATAAACTAACCTAATCCCTTTTCCACGGTTATATTTCCGTTTCCATTAGTTCTCTTTCCAAGCTTTTTTTATTCTTTTGACTTTCTCATGTGTATTAAAATCCTCCATTCAACCAACTATATTTCGCTACTTTATCTTCTTTTGTACCTAAATTTTCTTCTTTAATTCATCAGTTTTCAGTGAGTGTTAGATCTATCATCCAATCTTTCTTTTTTAGTGAGGTTGCTTACGTTTTTTCTTTTGTTATTGTTTTGTGTTGTAAGTAATTCGTCATTTATTCATATGGTCGTCTGCAAATATACTGCAAAGTATATTTGCAGACGACATAGTATTAATTGCAGAAACAGCACAAAAACTAAAATACAACTTAGAGAAATGGAACCTAGAAGCAAGGAAATACAACTTAAACGTAAACAAAGATAAGACTCAGATAATGAAAATATCAAGGAAACAAGGGACGGAAAATCAAATAGAAATAATGATATAATGATAGACCAACAAAAAATAATAGAGACAAATTCATACAAATACTTAGGAACAGTAATCAACAACAAATGAGACATCGAGGACGATTTTAACAAAGGAAAACTATTCCAAACACTAAATAGAAGATCTCTTAAGAGCGTAGGCGCAAAATTTTGGGCCAATGCTTTTTAAATGCATTCATTTTTTTCGAATCCTGAGAAAACTAATATATATTTTTGAAAAATTTAAACGCAGAATGAAAGAATACGTTATTACCGAGGGCCGAAAGTCTCTGAAAACTTCTATAATGTTTATTTTAATAAGTTACAGGGGTGAAAAAAAAAAGAGAAAATTTAGTGTGATTTTTAATTTAAAATATCTCATTCAAAAAAACCTTTTGTTTTTCTAAGGGACTTTCGGCCCTCGGTAATAATGTAATCTTTCATTCTGCGTTTAAGTTTTTCAAAAATATTTGTTAGTTTTCTCAGGATTCGAAAAAAATGAATGGATTTAAAAAGCAGTGGCCCGAAATTTTGCGCCTACGCTCTTAATAACAAAGAAATATCAAATATGACCAAGATGACAATATACAAAACAATATATAGACCTACAGTGACATATGGAGCAGAAAATTGGATACTAAACAAAAGGCAGAATTCAGTCATCAGAGATGAAATACCTCAGAAGAACGATCTGAGTAAAAAGAACTGATAGAATCAAAAATGAAGAAATAAGAGAAAGACTCAAAATCAATCCGATACTCGACTCAATCAAGGAGAAAAAAATTGGCATGGTTCGGACATCTGACCTGGATGGAGAATAATAGACAAATAAAAAGAGTCATACAAATACTTAGGAACAGTAATCAACAACAAAGGAGACACCGAGAACGATCTTAACAAAGGAAAACTATTCCAAACACTAAATAGAGGATCCCTTTATAACAAAGAAATATCAAATATGACCAAGATGACAATATACAAAACAATATATAGACCTACAGTGACATATGGAGCAGAAAATTGGATACTAAACAAAAGGCATCAAAACAGATTTCAGGAAGCAGAGATGAAATACCTCAGAAGAACGATCTGAGTAAAAGAACTGATATAATCAAAAATGAAGAAATAAGAGAAAGACTCAAAATCAAACCGATACTCGACTCAATCAAGAAGAAAAAATTTGCATGGTTCGGACATCTAACCTGGATGGACAATAATAGACAAATAAAAAGAGTGTGGAACGCCAAACCGTTAGGGAAGAACAGAAGAGGAAGACCCATTAAAGAATGGAACAGTGACATCTCGCAAATACTGCACAGTAAGGGTAAGACTTGGCAGGAAGCAACACAGATGGCATACAATAGGAAGGAATGAAGAAAGTTCGTTAAGAGCTAGGACATCTCAGAAAATTGTAAAATATTGTAATTTAATGAATTGTATTATAAACGGCCAACACCGAAAGGTACTAATAGTACGTTTTTATCGAATTAATTTGTTGTTTAATGAATGAATAACAATTGTTAACTCTTTGTGAAAAGATAAAACAATAATCATAAGATGATAGTGGATAATTAAAAGGATTTATTAAGTTAATTTGGTCATTAAGTCTCAGAAGGTAATGTGATCAAACATAAAAGTGAAAAAGTTCAAACAAATTAATCATATAAGGAAGAAATACATACAACAGGAGCACGGAAGTATCTGATAATAGCATTTAAAACTCCAAATTAAAAATAAAACTTATTAAATATTTTATATTACTCACAACAGATATTTTAACACAGATAAATAATCTAATGATTTTTCATATACCAATATCCTTTGATTTACTCTTTTACACGATATACGTTTTAACAATGCTTAGTATAGATTTCCACTTCTACAACATTTGCGTTTAGACTTACAGACTCATTATAGAAGTTTTGCATTCAAAATAAATTGTCATCAACTTAATGAATTTTTATTTCTTTTCATGACTAAAAAATCCAACTTGTCTTACCTGATGCTGAACGCTATGTATGTGCCGAACATGCGGCTCCTCTAGCAACAGGTTAGGGTCTCTCCAGACCCTTACCGGTTCGCTTCTTACTTCGTGATGTCTCTGTTGTACAGTTGAAGTTGAAGCGGGGATGTATAGTGGAGATCTGCAAGAAAACATATGTTAAAAACCCATATACTTAAATAATCACTACCTTTTAAAAAATAAATTCTAAGTTACTTCAGAAAGCTTCATTTTCTTTACCAATGCTTTTAATTTTAAATGTTGTTCTGTTTTTTTTTTCTTGAAAATCGGGCTAAGGCAAGGGCCCTTCCAGCCAGCAGCAAAGGTGTAATAACGTTCACTTAATAACCTAATCTAGCTAAACTAAATACACTACAATTCGGAAAATTAAAAGAAGAACTACAATGGGAGAGGAATTAGGATTAATTTTCGCATCTAGGGGTCATTCAAGGTGACTCACAGACAGAAAGTGTAGACCACGAAAAGTATAGGTAAAAAGGTTAAAGTATTTGGCGATTCAACAGAGGTAACGAGCTTAACACCGATACCTGAGTTATTAGCATTCTTTTTCGAATTATTGTCCATTTTAATAGCAATTTATATATAGAAATAGTTTGGCACTACTTTATGTCATAAAACAATGTATGATTTGCACAATGTAATTAAATTTGATGTTTTACATAACTTCATATACATCAATGTCATAGCTTCACATAAATAAATATTTCTTGAATGAGTTAAAAAATCTGTGTGTGCTCCTGTTTCCATTTTACGCACTTACGGTAGACACCAAGGAATTATTATTAGATTTCAAGGAACTATTACATTTTATATTAAGCTGTTTGCAAAATTCTTGACGGGACTTTCTTGACCGAACCAAGTCCACTTTACCACCCACTTGCTGAGTTCTCGAACCGATATATCATTAAAAAGTCTATTGTAATATAAATATCCTTAAAATAGAACCGACAATATTAACTTTTTACAAAAGTTTATGGAATGGAAGATGGTAGTTTGCTCGACATATAGCTACATATTTAGACATATTTTTAGAACTGTACATGGTGAGTCTTTTATTAGAATTGGTCTAGCTATCATAGTTATTGTTTAAAGTTTAATCTTATAAAAATATATACAAAAAGATTAGGCTCTGGCACAGGATTCAAACCCGTGTGGAAGAGCCTAATTGATATCCAGCCCATTTGCATAACATCTCACTGACGTAGGCTTATAAACTAGTCATAACAGGTGAAATAATAGTGATAAATGATGTTACAGAGCCACTGTGACCGATAATTTTAAAAGGAACCTTACGGCAAGTGATATCTCGTTTGAAAGGTATTGGACATGTCTCTTTAATCATACTAATTTTCTTTGGGTTTAAGCTGATTTAAAAAAGTTAACGTTTTTTAATTCTCTAGTTGTTTTTGCTTTACTAAGTTTTGCAAAAGTGTTTATACTTTGAATATTTAGTTTAATTTATTGTTTAACGAGACGTTTAAATGTTTACATAGGCAGAATAGTACGTTCTATAGTAGCAAAAGTAGCAGCTGTCTTAATAGAAACAATTGCCATGCATCGGAATGTCTTTTTAATGAGAGATCCCCGATCGCCCTATATCGAGGACTTATTTGAGGGAGTTTCTTCGGAAGTTTGAAGAAACAGGTACTGTTCAAGATGCCAAACAATTTCGTCGATAAACAATTAGTGAGGAAAAAAAATGATATAATTGCAGAAATGGTAGTAAACCCCAAGTCCAAGTTGCGTCTATCTATGAAATCAGTCAAAGGACAGTACACCAAGTGTTAGCTAAAAACAAATTTCAATCGTACAAATTAAAAATTGTACACCAACTTTTAGATGATGACCCGACCGAAGACTAACTTAACCAACAGCCAGATTACTTAAAAACAATTAGTTTTAGTGACGAAAGTACTTTCTCCTCCAATGGAAATGTTAACACATACAATGTGAGGTATTGGAATGACACAAATCTTTCTGATAAACATACTCAATTTTCAGAAAAAGTAAATCTTTAAGCAGATATTTTTGGGAAACCATATAGTTGGGCCTGTTTTTCTCAATGCTCAATGCAACTTAACCAATGAAGTGTATCTGGAGATGTTACAAAACCCAATTGGGCTGTTAATTCTTGAAATTTTGGAAGATAATTCAGGTGAATTCAGCAACTAGGAAATAAAAGATGGTGAATCTGCACACCATTATGGTGTAGTAAGACGTTCCCTAGATGAAGAATATCGTGGTAGATGGATTGGACGATGAGGCTCAATAGAATGGCCAACTCGGTCACCAGACCTCGCACTATTAGATTTTTTTCTGTGGGAGTACTTCAAAGCTAAGATATAAGCTACAGCACCCGACAGTATTGACATTTTGAAACAACAAGTTGTTGAAGAATTTAGGCAATTTCCCCAAACACATTTGAACAAGTACGACAAGAGTTTAGCAATAGGATACATTACTGTCAGGAACTAGATGAAGCACATTTAAACACTTCATAGAAGAACTGGTTCTTAAATCTTTATTAATTAATTAGTCGTTAAAATTAGCTTAAACCAAAACAAAATAAAAAAGTTTCCCATTTGGTGCAGACTTAATTGGACACATTGGACATTTATTTTGTCTGATAAAACCCATATCAAGTTTAAAGAGTTTCCATTTGAATAAAAAAGCAATATGAAAGGAAGAAGCATGTATATTAACTATAAATTCAAATAAGCTCTTCCTTGCTACAAGACGAAGGTACTCTCACAAGATTTTCCGGCAAGAAAAAATACACAAGGGACCTACTTATATACGAACTTTGAAAACTAAGTTTTTCCTTCAAGATATATTATTACAAAATAAGAGACACACGGATATCTACACAATTTCAACGAAAACCTACAAAGTCTTTAATAAATACGACAGTTAAAAAAATAATCTGATAGTGCAATATTTGTAAAAAGCATAAAAAAGATGCTCCGACGCCAAATATTATATACACTTCGCCAATCGCCCTAGAATCCATTGACCACGTGTAATGAGCAATACATTTATTTATTTAAAACTAAAAATATAAATTCCTATTCCTATTTTATGGAATTGGCTAAATGTGATGTTTAAAAAGATTATTTTTTAAAACTATAAATCATTTTACTCTAAAAAGTATTAGTCTACTTACCAACAATATCATTCTGAACTAAATTATATTAAATAAACGTCAAACTCAAAACAAATGTCAATGTCATTACACCTTTGTGTTAAATATTGCACCGCTTATTGCCATACTTCAAATCTAGCAGCACAGGCCGAGATTAATCAATGGTCTTAACGAACAATCAACATCAAACTTTACTTTTAATGCGATTGATGTCCATTGTCTCAGTTTGCTATTTTGGAAAATTATAATCTGTTTTTTTTTTCATATTTACCATGATACTATGAATAACAAGATAGGATCTTCCCGTAGCTCAAAATCGGTCGGGTTCGCGCATGCCGTCATTGGAGACTAGAATTTGAATTCTTGTTAAAGTTAAATGAGATTTGTATGCATTCTGTGATGAAATTACTAGACGAAAATAAGTTAAGAGGTTTAATAATTACAATAATCGTACACATAAAGATATCTCCAAACTATTTATTAAAGATTATTTATTGATATATACAAAAACTGACATTTCGAACGTGCAAGTCTCCAATGACGTCACAAAAAACATGCGCAATATCTTATCTTATAGTCATAGTATCATGATATTTACTAAGAAGAAAATATTCATAATGGAGCAACATTAATACTGACATTCTGTTCATTTTTTGAAGGTCACTACATGGCGTCTGTTATTTTCATCAATATCTTTTTAAGCATAAGATTAAAATGGAAAACAAATCAATGGCTAATAAAGTTCTCTGAATAAATTATAAAATAATACTAATAATAAATACAAAGTAAAAGTAAATAAAAAGTTTCAATAATATTGTAATCTAATTAGGTGCTCTTAAAATAGAATGACCTCATTATTGGAATATAAAAACAAATTAGCACAGAATGAATTAACGCAATAAACAATTACTGTGAAGGTTATTCAAGGTCGAGGCGATGGTTGGGATATGTACGGCAATGTAATGGTTATGAGTAACTATTATTTATTCTTTGAACCATGTTTGTATATAATAAAAACGAAAATTTGTTTAATACAATAAAAAAGGAGTTTTATTAGGCAACTCTAAAAAGGTTGAAAATAAAAATTAATTATTTTAAACTGGATTTGTGGACAAATAATGTTAAATCGGGACTAAACTACATCTAAAATCGAAAAAACCTATTAAAGTTATTCACACATTTTCTGATCTTAAAAACGTTTTTTTACATTTGTGTCACTTTTCTGTACTTTAATTTCTTTTAGTACTTGTTTAAAATTATTCTGAAGATATGTATCTCATTTTTTATGTAGTTTTTTTCTTTGCCACAGAACTTTTCACTTGAACCAAAGTTAGTATCTATTAGTTCGCAGTGGTAGGAGGAAGTCGAATTACTATTTTTGCATTTTTTTAACCGATTCGTCAATAACGTATTTTAAAACCGATGTTAGTGTATTTCATACCTGTCAATAGATCGTTTTTTACCATGTCGATGTCGATGATTAATTTCAAAGCCAATTAATTATTTTCTAGACAATTTTTCAGATCTTATTAACCCAGATGTGCCTGACGTACAATCGTACAATAAATTGTACACCATAACCATGATTTGACTTGTACATGTGCGATTTTTTTCTCTTGGTAACAGCTTGTGTGTAATTGTGAATTGCTCGCTTTGTAATATCTGACGATAATTTTGCGATAAAGTTTATAAGTTTTATATATGGCTGAATATAGAGTACGGTTTGGTAAGTAACTAAATATTTGTTATATTTATGCAGGAAACAAATATTTTTTTGAATTTACGGATAAAAAAGTCATACTTATATGTTTCGAGTTAGATTTAAAAATTGGTTAAATCAATATTTTGTAGTTTGTGTTGATCTATTTGACTTATAGTGTACACAATATTGTAGGCCAGACAAATACTATACCTTTCAGAAGTTTTTCACTGGAGGATGCGCTTAGTATGTTAGAGAATAATGCAAATTTAGTAATAAATGTAGACATTACTTTACTTTAATGCCAAATTCAGTAAATGCATGTGGTCTCCTAATAAAAACTTTAGTGTTGAAGGTATAATGTTGGTGGATAATGCACGTGTCAGAAAATAAATACAGATTATGGAGTGGGAGCTATCGTTTTATTGGAATATTCAGATGTGCTAAGAGAAATATGGACAAATAAAAAGTTTAGTCTTGTTTTTAAGTACTGTTTTACCTCGATTTTCTTTATGGGAAAACTGAAGGAAAGGTTTTTAGCCATCGACATGGTTAGAGAAAATGGTTTAGACGAAGTGCAATTACAATATTCGAAAATTATGAGAAAGGAAAACAAACGGACATATAATTACAGAAATAATTGCAGTACAATGACATGGCAATGATTTAGTATCGATTTGTTCAAACTCTGCAACTGGTATTATTTATTATTTCAGGTAAAACAACTCCATGTTATACATGTGTACACTGTAAATATAGGCGGAGTCGACCTTAGTGACCAAAATATTAGTCTCTACTGCATTTCTATTCGCGGAAAAAATGATATCTTTCATTGATCAGTCAATACAGTAACATGGCTCTTCATAATGCCATAAGACGCATTACAATATCTTTGTTACAACAAAATAAGAAACCTGGGATGGGGGAGTTATTTTGTTACAGGTCTTGCCATTTTTAAAATGCCGAGGAATTACATAAGAAAGAGAGAACCACCAAAATACTCTTTGAATGATTTAGTAAATGCCGTGGCAGATGTCAAAACAAAGAAAAGAACATATAGGGAGGCTGCTGCTTACTACAGTATTCCACATTGAGTGATTTACAATCGCATAATGGGTAGATACATACCAATTGATAAGATGGGAGCTGGTGTGTCTACTGAATTGTCAGACAAAATTGAAAACCATATTGTGACATGTTTAAAAGCCCGAGCAAATGTGGGCTACCCTTGCAATAAACAAGAGTTACTAAATGTAGTTGGTGAATACGTTAAAGAAAATTGCCTAAAAACTCGCTTCAAAGATGGCATACCTGGTAAAGATTGCATTTATGAAACGCCATCCTTCACTTTTGCTAAAGACACCTGAGCATATTCAAAAACTTAGAAAAGATGCTCGAAAGCCAGATATCATTTATGATTTCTATTATAAACTGAAAGAAGTTGTTCAAAACAATGGCCTTAATGGCATCAGTAAATCCATGTTTGTATTTCATGCTGACGAGAGTGGATTTAATAGTGATCCCTCCAGAATTAGAGCTATAAATAGGATCAAAGGGTAAATCTCTATGCAGAATTTCTGGTAGTTCTGGACGGGAGCCCACGACAGTGCTCGCATGTGTTTCAGCAGATGTAAAATATTTACCACCGCTCATCGTTTTTAAGGGTGCTGCTGTCCAAGCAAGATGGGTATCACAAGAGGCCATGCCAGGAACTCTTTACGCTTATAGCAAGAATGGTTGGATGGAGGAACCTCAATTTTACCATTTCTTTTTTAATGGATTAGTACCACATGTGCAAACAATTCGAGAGATACAGAATTTACCAAATCGAGTTTCCCAGTCAATTAACGGACAAACTGCAACCACTTAATAAGTGTGTTTTCAAATCAGTTAAATATACATGGGATCGAAAGTTAGTAGTATATGGACAGAAGAGTATGGGGAAGGTACTGGGCGTTTATTTAAGGACAAATTCGTAGAACTTCTAAGTGAACTTGGCACGAGGAGAGCAGCTTCAGTTTTATAAAGAAAAAAGACTCTCCTCCCAGATTTCTGGTGAAAATACTAGATGGGAATAAGGAAAATATTAGTGGATTTATTAACAAAACATTAATACATGAAGCTGAACCATTATCATTTAAAACACCTAACACCTGTAGGTGAATCTGCAACATCAATTGCAGAATTAGATGGACCGGATGGATACACTGGACCGTATATTTCATGGGAGTCAACAAGAACAACAAGAAAATTGACACAGTTAAAAAAATTGCTCCAACAGAGAAAAAGATAATCCCTCGGCTAAAACATGGAGAAGTATTAACTGCTGGTGACGTTTTGAACAAAATGAAGGAACAGGAGGATCTTACAAAGCGGAAAGGAAATGGAAAAAGAAATGAAGTTCGAAAAATTGCTGATTCGCTTGAAACTAAAGTACCAAGTAAAAATACAAATACAAAGAAACATAAAGAGTCATTGTCATCATCTGATGCAAGGGAAACAGAAGTATCTTATGCTGAGAGCGATGACAGTCCATGGGATGAACCGGTACAAGAAGAGCTACAAGAACTAGAGGCTGCATAACACCACAAACTCCAGCAGGGGAAATTTGTATTAGTAGAATTCAAGGGTGGTAAAACGCTGACAACATCTTACAGATATCTTTGTATGATCGAAGATATTGATTGGGATTGGGATGAAAATGTTATAGCTCTAAAATGTATTAATAGTACCTGCAAACAATTTGCTATGCAGGAAACTGACATTAGTTTCATCAAGTTCCAACAAATTATTGGTATAGCCGCTGAGCCAAATATTTTTATGAAAGGTGAAATAATGTTTTACAAGTTTCCTAATAAGTTAGATATTTTTGAACGTCAGTAAATAAGTAAATATTTATAATTTTAAAAATTCGTTTGTTATACCTAATACCTATGTATTTTATTTTGATAATAATTGTTTTAAATTTCCTTGGCACATTTGATATATTCGAGAGTAATTTCAAACATTGACATGTTTAATGGAACCAACTTGCACGATTTTTAGATTACGAGCCACGCATAATTTTACTCCAGTTTTCGTTTACATTATGTTTAACATAACCAGAGATCGTTGTTTACATTTACCTCCTTTTTAGTTTTTTTCTTAAAATTTGTGAGGTAAATGGAAACATTGGATACCTTCTTTTTTGTGACTTTTTCTTACTAGTTTTTAAAACATTCTACCGCAAACTTTTCATATAATAGCTAAAAGCTTTTATTTTATTAAAATATGAAACAGTATATTTTTAAATACATTTCATGTAGAAATCATGAAATTTCAAATAGTGTTTTCCAATTACACTGACTGACCCTGTGGGCATTAGGGTGCGAGTTGATGATTTCGCAGGTTCAATATTGTAAAATTCAAGCAGATTGACTTGTGCTACTATAAGTTATTTTAAATTCAATATATTTGATGACATAAACAATTCTTTTTAAGTATATTTAATTGCAGCCTTTTAATTTATATAGTATTACCTGTTATGGGATCTTTGTTGTAATCCACCCGCTGTAGAAGACGAGATGGATACTGACGTTAATAAGGACTGTGGCGATACTGACGAGGCAACAGCGACGTTACTGCCAACGCCGACGTTGATATTGTTTCCTCCGTTACCGCTACTACTACTGCTACTGCTCGATGATGACGATGACGAAGAACTTAAAGAACTACTTGTTGGTTCGTCGGTAGAACTTAGAGCACTCGATCTTGATCCAGATCGCTCATCGCCACTATTGCTGATACATGAACGCAATGAACTCACACCCGAATCCGAGCGATCGTCAGGAAATCGCAGCAGTAAACCGGCGCACTGTGATGCTGATGATGATGCCGACGATGCATCCGAAACGCCTCCAACGACGCCGCCGAGATCCATTCTGTGGACGACGTATGGAGAAGGCGAGGACGACACCAACGGCACGTCATCGTCACCTGGAACAAAATAAGAATGTGTTTGAATGTGCATTAAATATTAAACCGGGAAAATATAGTACATAGTAAGTTTTTATTACACTGTAGCATCATGTGATTGTGTCAAACTTGTAGCGATGGTAAGTTAAGGGCATGAAAAGTAAAACAGCACTAGAATTATCTACACAGTAAAACCATGTATTTGCTCACGGACTTTTCCATCATTATATCAATAAATTGGAAAACTTTCCAAACATCTGCAACTTTTTAACAGTATTTACAATAAATATACAATCTTTTCATTTTATATAAAATTGACCAAGTTTATTGACAGTTAAAATTTATTCAAGTTCTACTATGTTGCTTTGATTTACGAAATAAAGATCTTAAAACATTATAAATAATTTATAAGTTACTACTTGACGGATATCAACCAGTAGAACAAGCCGATTTAGAAAAACAGATGGGCAGCATTCAGAAGACTCTCATACGTACTTAAAAATAAAAATGTACCTCAAAGACTGCGAACCAAAGTGTTTAATTCCTGTATCCTACCTGTGCTTACATATAGAGCTCAAATCTGGACATTCACTAAAATAAACATGGATAAGATCAGAAAAACTCCGAGAGTTATGGAACGACAGAAGCTGGGTATCTCACTTAAAAACCATAAAACCAATGAAGACATTCGTAATAGAACAAAAGTAAAAGATGTTGTCGAACACGCAGCTAAACTGAAATGGAAATGGGCTGAACATAACGAACGTCTTACGGATGATAATGGAAAAAAGAAATCGGGAATTGGCGGCCATATGAATACAAAATACCACGAGGAACACCGCAAATGCGATGGAGCGACTGTATTAAAAGAACTGCAGGGTCAATGTGGAAACGTCTTACAAACAACAGAGATGAATGGCGAGAATTAGGAGAGGCCTATATTCGGCAATCCGAATAGAGAAAAGAGCTTAAAAAAATGAGTTACTATTTATGTCCATTTAAATAAATACTTAAAGATTTTCCAAAAAAGAAACCAATCAAGCATGACCAGTAACAAGATATAATTTTCAAAATAAAGCAAAAACTTCAAAATGAAACTACAACGAATTTTGCTTTAAAGTCATTAATTACTAAATAATAATCGACATTACAATCCTTCGAGATTTAAAAATGACTTTCAAATGACCTTCAAGTAGTTCGCGGGATATTCCAAATCAAACTTTCCACTAAACGGTGAATAACCTTCAATTGACCTTGAATGAGTCCAACTTATATCAGGTAATAAAAAAACTGACCATTTATTACGCTCATAATTGATCTCAGGTTAAAGATCAAATATTTTTAATATAAGTAGTTATATAAATCTTAGCCACAAGGTTACACCAAATTTGTAGTAGACTCAAACCACCAACTGCGTGAAAATTGGGAAATTCATACTAATGAAATACAACGAGGAATTAGGCAGGACTGTATTTTATCCCAAACGTTATTAAATTTTTACCCAGATTAATAGCTCAAAAAAGTAGCTTGAAATTTGAGAGGGGTAGCGAACTTCTAAGTGATTCTGTTGCAGTGCTGTAGACAAAATCAATTTTTTTAGCTGAAAAACATTTGAGGTTGGACAGAGATACGAAAGACCAGACAACTTTTTTCATCTAGTAGAAACGCGTGAAGAAGATATTGAAATAAACTAACTTATTTATATGCTTCTCATTCTTAAATATAATAAAAATTTTAAAAACTGTCACTAAATGATATTACTTGAAATAATTTTATAAAAATACTAAGCTCATAAAGGAAATAAAAATATTGACATTGAAATAACCTTCAAAAATGTAAAGCCAAGTTACAGAAATATTATTGTTTTTGTTTTGTATCAAGTTAATTATACCCTGCAGCATCAAACTATTTTGATTGGCCAACCTCAAATGTGTTTGTTTGATAAAGAAATTTAAAATCTACACAAAAATAAGAATTGGAAGTTTTATATTTATTTGCATAAATCAAAATTCTTAAAATAGAATAAGCTAAGTCATTGTTTACCATACTACCCACACAGTCAAATAATATTATTGATTTGAGAAGCTGAGGGGTAAACAAGTTTGCAAAAAATAAACAGTACACAAGAAAAATATTCCCATAATATTTTTTTGCATAATCACTTTCACGAGATACTTCAAAATAACGGTCGCCCAGGTGAAAAGTTGTTCACAATTTTTTGAACTTTTTTTTTAAACAAATTGTAACAATTTTTCGGCCAGAACATTTTTTTTTATGTTTTTTGGATCATTATGAACAGAAAAGGTCCGTTGTAATTTTTCTATAAAGTTGATCGTTTTCTAATTGTTATAAATAATTTAAAACTGAAAAAAGTACAAAATGACGATTTTCAAGGCTGAAGAAGCCAAGTAGAAAATATTATTTTTGAAATCATCAAGTTCCTACATTCAAGTTCAAGTCTTCTTCTATCAGCTCCCGACTAAAATTGTAGGCTTTATTATATTTTAAAATGTGGTTTTTTTAATTGTTAATTAGGCGCGTACGGCAGGGCAGGCTACAATGAGAATTCAAACCAGCAAACATTTGTGCCATAGATCTTGTTTCTCTCGTCACAGCCCGAGCGCATGTCCTGTCACAAACTCTCCATTGACGATCTAAAAACAATGTTTTAAAATGAAATAAGCCCAAAATACTTATCGGGAAATCATTAAACTTGAAATTAGGTCCTGGAAATTCAAACGTTGAGCTTCTCCGTCGTATAAGACTGATTTGGGCGGCCTTGAACCATATTTTCAAATCGTCAGACACAAATATGTCTTAAAACAACAACTTTTAATCAGTGTGTTTTGCCAGTGTTGACTTACGGAGAGAAAACGTTTACGTTTAGGAGATAAGGAGTACAGTGAAAAAAGATCCGTGTGGCTCAAAGGGTGATGGAGCGTACTTGTTCAATATAAGACTTTTAGCAGTCGTTGATAGAGCGCTCGTGATGTACGAGACATACAAACGCTATAATATTTTATAAAAACAATTTTTTATTATAAAATGTTTAAACTAAACTGTATTTTGATACAATTTTACAAGATACTCCAAGGAAACTGTTTCAGGCAATAAAGCACCAATTAAAAAGGTAAAATTGATAAGATTATCATTCGCATTCATGCTTTTGATAAAGGGTTCAATTTTATGTAGGTACAAAATAAAGAAACGGATAAAGCTATTAGTATTCACGAGTTCAATAACTTTCTTGAGTCGTAATACATTTGCTATTTTACTGTATTCATATCCAGCATTGCATTTTTTTAAAACGATTTTGGGATCGGAAGTCGAAATGTCAAAAAAAATGTAAAATGTAATTCTCATTACAATCAATGGTGGTTTAATCATCATCATCACGTAGCGCTACAACCCTGGGTGGGTCTTGGCTGACTGTACAAATTTTTTTCCAATTTGTTCGGTCTTCCACCAACTAGAGTCAAATGGAATGTTCATTTTCCGGAGATCTGCTTGATGTTATCTCTCCATCGCATTCTGGGATGTCCGAGTGGTTTTTTGCATGTGGGAATCTCCCATACCAGTTTTACAAGTCTCTCGTTATGCAGTCTGTGCACGTGGCCTGTCCATCTTAGTCGCTGTGATTTAATGCTAATTGGGCAATATCGACGTCATTGTAGAATGCTTTTAATTCGATATTGGTTCTGATCTTATACTGGTTTGTGGTGATGTCATGGTGAGGTCCGAAAATTTTTCGTTCGAAGCGTCTGAGCTTTTCTTCGTTTGCTTTGGTCATGGTCCACGTTTCGCATCCGTATGTTATTACAGGTCTGATGATGGATTTAACTAAATACAATATGGTTGAATCCCATATAAATGAACATTTAAACCCAGAGAAGCAAGAAATTCACGGAATAACAAGGTACAGAGTCATCACCGTGGGATTAATTTCTAATAAAATAATTGAATCCTAAAAAAATAATGAAATAACCACGCCTCTGGAATTGCCCAACAGTTCACTTGTTATTTGTTTGGATTCCAAAAAGACTTGTTCGGAGCATTTCTTACGTTGGTGACCAATTTCCCTCAGTTGCACAAAATATTTTCGGTGTTTTCCGCTTTTATCTGGAATATTTTCCCAGTAGGCCGTGTAAACTTTTTCACCTTTTAAAGAAAGAATTAAGAATTAACTTTATAATGAGTGTGACATTCATACACAGACTAGAAAGCACAAATTAAATATTCATAACTTCCAATTAAATGTGGTTCCATACATAAATGTATGTTTTTTTTTAGAAAACTTTAGTTAATATTTTATTTATTTCAATGCAAACTTTCTCACATGTAGGTATATATTGTTAAATATGTAAATGATTCATAATACTTGGGTTCTCATATATTATTTATTAATATCTCTGTAATTTATTTACATCATTATGGAAATTTAATCTTGGAATTACCGTAGATATATTTTCACAACACTTCTATTAGATTGTTAATCATAATTTAAGATTATTAAGTGGGTTAAATTTATTCTAAAATGGTAGCAACTGTATTAGTGGATTTATAATAAGTGGTTCTTTTTTAAAGTAGCTAATTTAAAATATCAGTATTAAATGATTATATATCCTATATTTACGTATTGACGGAACATAAGTACATATTAAAATATTTGATAGTGAGTTTCAGGTGTAAATGAATAAAATCACATGACACTCAAATAATTTGTTGTAAAGAATTCTATTGGTTAAGTAAATGACGTGATATGGGACTTTACCTTATAGATAGTATTGATATATTTATTTTAACCACAGCTGACAAGAAACAAATTACCATAATGATGACTGATGATTAAAGTAAATTTATTTTTAGGAAACCTGGTGTAAAAACAAAATTGTTTATTCATTATTAATATATCATAGGTGAGATCAATCAATAACACTTCTTGCATTCAGCGTCTGCTGTGGAAATTTTTGCACTTTCAAAACTTCCACACGGAATAATTAGACCCATGTCACTCCGAACTATTCAAGGTTTCGCAGACAAGAAATTCTATGTCCCACACTTCTTCGTCCAACTACCTTTGGTTGCATTATAAGCTGTATGAACTCATATATTGTGCCTCTTAGAGACGTGGCCAATGAACTCAAGTTTTCTCTTCATTATGATAAATATAAGTAATTTCAGTTTCAATATTCAGTCTTTCCAACACCTGATTTGTGACTTTATCGGTCCAGGACACTATGAGAATGCGTCTGTAGACCCACATTTCCAACGCCTTCTACTTGTTAAGGAGTTCCTTATTTAATGTCCAGCTGTCCATGCCGTATAGGAGTATGGGAAACAAATTTAGAGTCTTAGAAGGATACGGTGCTGTCAAAAGTTTTTTTTTTCAGTTCATGCTTTTTCGATACGTGACCGAATTTCTTCTGAATGTTGGTTAGTAACGTTGACAATAGTTCCAAGATATTTGTAGTCAGAAACCCTCAATAACTTGTCGATTGAAAACTAATTGTTCACAATTATTGGTATCCATGCTATTCATCATACTAACCATCGAAGTATAATCTTGATATTTGAACTTCTTGATAATCAATGTTTAGTTTTTGTATAATTTTCAGTAGCTTCTTGTGCTACATTCTCAACGGCCACTAGCAAGCCTAAAACCTTAAATGGTTATCTTCCTTAGCGTTCTATTGTAATTACTATTTTTTTCTTTTTGCCCTTCTCTTCGACCTCAATATTGCAGATATTCCCTTCGGCAATTCTATTATGGAAACGATCCAGTTACTTACTGCTTCCCAAAACTCCAGCATATCAGTCCTCGAAGAATCTGTCCTTTCAAACGAAAGCATGAGCTTATTGCATGAGTACATAAAAACTGATACCAGCTGCTTTCATTTAAACAACCAAATGGCTAAAAGGCTTCTACAAGTTGCTTTTAAGAACATCATTCTCCCATCTTATCCTACTCCAAGATATTTAGATGTCAGATTTCTTAAACGATTTCGTGTTAGAAGTAACCTAAAATTTAGCGTTAAAATTGTTGAATCACTCTGAAAAGAGATTCCACTGCACTCCGAATTTTGACCTTGAGCCTTGAGAAATAAATATTCGAGTAGTTACTGAATAACAGCGGGGACCTCTAGAATAAAACTCTTAGGTCAAGTGGAAAGGTGATTAGAGCTCAATCATATTGAATATAACAACGGGGATATTGAATAACTTCAGAGCTATATAGTGATAATTGTCTGTTGTTAACTGCAAGCCATCAGACAAATAATAAATACGTAAATTTTTAACATTAAAGAATATAGACGTTCATAGAAGGCCAACACTGAACAAAAAAGTATTCTTCGATTCAGACAGTGCAGGAATGTGACAAACAAGCTTTGTAACCCAGTCGATAGAGGTGCCGATAATCAATTTTTGCACAGTTCATATATAAACTTAAGGCAGCCAATAACGATTCTAGTAAAAAGTAAAGCATCTGATCTCTTAAAAGTACTTGCAATAACTTTGGACATTCTTCATCTACAAAAAAAATCAACATTTTAGGTGTACATATGAATTTTTATCTTTTTTTTAAATGTATTATGAAAATGGTGCAATATAAAAAAACATAAATAAAAAAATCAATCTGGAATTCGATCCCAGATCCGTAAGAATATTCCTCAAACTCTGACCAAATACAAAGTTTGTATGAATTGTGCTAACAATTTGATTAGCACCGCCTACATCGACATGGAATTACAAACTTTTGATTTATATTTAAAACGGAGGACTTCCGTCTCCATGAGCGTTAACCTTCTATGAGCATATATATTCGTTGTTAATACTAAAATAATTAAAAGTATTGAATTAAAAAGAAATTGATTACCTCTAATAGAGCAATCCCCTTGCTCCACTCTTTTATTTGACGTTATAATTGTCCTAGTTTGAGCCACTATCACACAATCCTCTTCACTTTCGTTTAAATCACCATTCACCACTTCCTTCGCTGTAGGCATAGATTCACATTGCACATTGTCACTAGCTACACTCACACTCACTAACTCGACACTATTACTGTTGCTGCTCCCATTGCTGACCTCACCGTCAACCGGACTGGGGTCCGGTAACGTAGGCGGTTCTGGTTCGGATTTATTGATGGGACTCAGTTGTGGTGTCTCAGGGTGATTATTTTCCTCCTCTGCCTGTTCTTCAGCTAACTCTCGTTCTAGTTTCTGACGACAGAGCAAAGAAAGTGTAGTACAATGCTCGACTCTAATTTCGATTTCTCGAAGTTTTGCGTTGTTTGCTTCTTCTAGAACTTTCTTCTTGTTGACGGAGCGATTGGTGAGGTTGCGTGTTGGTGGTCTACGTGTTTGTTTGTTTTCTAAATCTTCTTTTGCGATAAAGTTACGTGGTTTTGTGGATGGCGGTTCTGTTTCGCTGGGTTTTCTTTTGCGTGTTTTAACTGATGATCCTGTAACAAAAATAGTTATTAGAATAAGGTCTAATACGTACATGAGATTTAATAAATTCAATTTGAATGGAATGCAGTATTGTTCGAAAATTATTTCTAGTATGAAAGACATGTATTCTTATTTTGGTTAAAGTAATATTTTAATAGCTTTCGTCCGGCATATCATTATTTATTTATTAAGACTAATACACAATAACCACTGTGAAAACATAGTGTAATCAATTTTTGCAGGTTTTCAAATTATGACTGCAATTCAAATATTCACCTAGCTTTTCCATACAACATAATCTAAATAACACTTAAACAACCTTAAAGTTTTTCACCACTTATTGAATATCGCACAAAAGGATATTTATGCCAAAAATTTAACCAAGTACTTTTTTACACCATTTAAAAAATATGCCGGTACATAAAATATTTGTTTGAGTTGTCTTCTATTAATGATAAGTACACTACTGTCTACTGTAACCAAATAATGCTATTTGTTCCAAAACCACCTGATAATGTTAGAACTTGGCAGGTTTTCAAGCACACGCATATATTTATTCTCTATCCACACCCATCGACGTTTAAAAATCCGATAAACAATGCATAGAATTCTTAAAAACCCGTACGAAATTCGAATTCAATAATCTAGACATTGGAATTCCGTCACATGCGATCCACCATTTTTAAATTCTTGACACGCCTTTCGGATAACACTCTAGATCATCAGTAACCCCACAGGAATGCCAATAAAAATTCAACCTAACGACAAAGAACAACCAGTATTCACATTCTAAAAGTATCTCGCTGCGAGTTGTGCTTCCAACGAAAATAAAAAAAAAGTCTGAACGAGGAATCCGGCACACAAAACAACGAATGCGGCAGCATAAAAAGATATAGACGATATAGTGCACAGGGTTGTAATTTTAACATTTAGAAACTAAAATACATGCAAGTTAACGGCATAAATGTTCGTAACAATGCATACGAATCAGATAAAATAAATTAAATTTGTGCTGAGAAAATATTAATGTCGTATACATAGGTGAGACATGGAGAAATACAAAAACGGGTAACTGAACATTGAGGTCAACAGAAAAATCAATTCCGCATATGCCAACTACAGAAAATCATCAATTTAATAGTTATTTTAACATTTAAATACTATTAGATTTATTTCTGTAATGCTTTAAAAATAAATGACAATTCTTAACAAATGATTCTGGGAGGTCACGGTAACTGTCTCTAGCAGGTACTAAGTAGGTAAAAAGTAATAAAATAATAAAATAAAAAGTTAATAAATAATAAAAAAGGTAATAAAAAATTATATATATATATATATATATATATATATATATATATATATATATATATATATATATATACAGATAGAGAGCATAAAAATAGTTAATTTGAAATTTAATTCTTCTGAAGTTTCAGGGAAACATGGTAAGTTAAAAATGTTTTATGTGTCATAAGTCTTCCAGTCCTTTCGACACTGCAACGTTGTTTCTTTATACATTACGTACTCTAGGATGAGTAGATGTTTAAGAATGCCTATTATCGATTTTGGCTCGTACATGTGGTAGCAGGTCAGATCTAAATAGACCTGTTCCAGGCAATATATCCACGTGTGATTACTTTGAGCTCAGTCTTCTGCAGATCTATATATTGTTGCGTAGCGAGCAAAAGATTGTAGTAAAATTTTTAAGTGATTTTTGCTTTACCCACCCAGGGAACCATGCACTGCAACTTTTTAGTATATAACAGAATAGCCATGGACCAATGAACAGATTATTAACTATTTATTTAGCTACACTAGTAGCTATCTCATTACTAGCAACTCCTTGATGACCTGGTAGCTATAAAAGTTTTGTTGTGCTTTGCCAGTTTCTTAGGGATTGTATAGTTGTATACAATTCAAAACTTTTGGGGACTAAGTTTAGATATCTGTTACAGGTAATAAATATTTTGGCTGGATTGAGGCGTATCACTATTTTAAAAAGCATCAAGTATCCTAACAATTTTGTTAGGATACCATTTCTTTGTTGGGGTTAGAATATTTTACTGCAACAACATTGTTGTTGCAGTTTCGCAATGATATATAAACATTTATAAAATATTAACAAACTTTGTCATAGTTTTGATTCTCCCCGTATTCCAAGAGTCCGTGTACAAAAATACAGTTGTGCTAAAAACTACATATTACGAGACGAGCCATCTGCAAAATGACACAGACTTGTATTTGAGATAAGAATGAGATAAGGGACGAGTTCCATATGTCATATGAGACAGACGTGTATTTGCGTTAAGACGCACATTCTAGACGTCATACATGACACACTTCGCTTCGGTCTTACAGATAGTCGAGTTTTGTCTCCTGAAAATGTTTTCAAGTGGGAAATTGTTATTAACAAATAACTTATAACAAAAAACAATTTCTCGAATTGCCTCGAGTAAAATTGTTTTTAGGTGTAGGTATCTCATCGAAATAAATATTTTTTCTATCTTTTTCGAAAAATGCTTCCTTTTCAAGATATTTGAAATTTTTTGTTAAAAAAATGCCTTAATTAGTGATTTTTGGGTTTTTTTTTCTAAAAAACTATTAAATTAATTGCAATTGTATAAAATGCTTTATAATTTTTAAACCTTCAACTACAAGTAAGTATATTTTGACCAGGATAAATGGATTCTATTTTGCTCAAAACATGAAACCAAATATTTCGAATATGCATTTCGGTAATCTATCGCTGTATATGAAAATAAGCGTGTACAGTCCCATTTAAAACTCTGTTTTTAGCAAAATAGAAACCACTTACCTTTGTCAAAATATTCTTCCTTATACGTGAATGTAAAGAATATAATGTTTTTCCAGAATTGTAATTTATATAGTAGTTTTTTAGAAAAAAATCGCAAAAATCACTAATTAAGGCATTTTTCAACAAAAAATTTCAAATAACTCGAAAAATTACCAAGAGAGATAAAGTACTTCGATGAGATACGTCAAAAAAAATTTACTGAAGGTGATTCCGGAAATTGTTTTTTTGTTATTTATTTGTTAATACATGCCACAAGAAAACAGTTCCGAACCTATATAGAATATTTATTAATTTAGAAGAACTTCGGCCATTTTCTGGGCTAACAATAGAGTTGATATTTGAAATAATATGACCGAAAGAAACAGTGACTATAACTATGACTTTTGTATAATAAAAATAAAGCTTGAAACGATGTTACACAGCGCCTCCAATATTCACCATAGAGGATTGACAATAAAAAGAAAGATATTTATCAGAATATTAATAATAATTGTAACATCGTTATTTAGGAAAATAAAATTGCAAAACTTACTTTGTATACTTGATTTTTAATTACAATTATTGAGGCAATATTTTTAAAGTTTTATGACTTTAATAATAATTGAAAATACCACCATTCATACCTTTTGTATAAGGCAGCTAAATAAATTAAATCAACGCCCACATATTTCGGCTAATAGTTCCAATTTCCAATAGAGCCATTTGAATAACCTCGCCAAATTTGTATTTCGTGATACATACTCTCATTATCATATATCGACTCGTCCTTCCATTATGTCATGTATTTTCATCAAACACACAACAATACCTAAGAATACATCAAAGTTCAACAACATTTGAAGCCACTCCCTTCTTCACGATTATAATTCCGGCCGGGTGGTATGACGGGTTGCGTTTCAAGCCGACTTGATCGATGACCGTAATTCGAAAAAGGAACAATAACGCCAACTTGATTTAGTGCCTCACTATGCGGCAGTGCAAGGGTCAAAGGTTGACGATTTGGTATTTGGAACGATTTTTTATTGGGACTGGTTTCAGCTAGATACTAAAAAGTTTAATGGAGAAATTGCCTTTTATGTCAACTCTAAAACCGGTTTCTTTTCGCAGATTTATGTCCAGTTTGTTCTTGCCTCAAAGGATTTTTAGTTATAGTTTAGTGTTTTTTTTTGTATTGAACTATTCAGTTGTGAAGAACTATAGTCTATTATACCTTTTTAATAATAAAAAAAAGAAACTAGATTTATTACGTCATAAATAATTTGATTAAATTTACAAACTTATGCTGAGGAATGGTTGTTTTTTATTATAACGTGTCCTTCATTCGCATTCAGAAAAACAAGCAATTCATTCAATTATTAGATTTTATAAACAAATAATATGAAACAAACTTGAGAGTGCAAGGGAATATATACCTGCATTAAAAAGGAGAAGAAAGTTGAAGCAAATAATTCTTTTTCCTGAAATATGTTTACGATCCGTCAATAGTTGTACGGTGGAATACTTCACTTGATACAAAACCGCATGTATAATCGAGTTGAAATAATCCACCAGTAAGTTTTTGAAGTCTAATTCAACAACAAAATGCCATGCAGGCTTGAAAGCTCGTTTCAATTTGCCACACAACACATATGCATTAGGAATCAACATATCCACAACAAAAATGGCGCAAATTGCATCTACCTTAAGGTACTGCGAAGGTTTAAATCATTAAACATATTAATAGAGGGATGTCCCCAACAATCATAGGATGGGAATTCTCAAAATCATGTTTGGGATGCCAGAGAAGATAAACTATATAGCTTTTATGATGTGTTATGTTAATTTAACAAGTACTAAGATTTTTAAGAACTATGTTTTAAGATCATAAGGAAAACTCGGCATAGTTATCCTATCTTGCTGGTACAAAAATACTCATAATGTTTGTGTACCCAAAGTTTATTATCTGTAACCAGCTCCAGCTTTTGCGTGTTAGAATAAATGACCCGAAGATTCAGAAGATGTTATACACAATCAGAAAAAAACTATACTGATGATGATGAAGGCACCCAAGGCATGTACACATACACGTGTTTTTCACAACAAACTGACTAGAGCCGCATATACTGAGCAAATATTAAATTAAAAAATATAATTCTTCTGATAATTTGTGACTAAGTTCCTATTAATTATGCAACCAATAACACACTGCAACCACCA